ATCCGAACCCCAAAACCCCAAAGCCCAAACCCCAAACCCTTATAATATATATATATATATATAATATAGGAGCTTAAATAATGACCTATACTATTTTGGGGGGTTCCTTATTATTAATGTATGATGGGTCCCAAAACCCTATTCTAATTATTAAGGCCCCTACATTAACCCCCAAGCTTCAATCCCCGATCTCCAAACCCGAAACGCTCAGCCCTCATCACTCCGGCCTTAGGCCGCAAGAAGTTGACCCCAGAGACAGTCTACACTCCAGGAGACCGGGCTGGAGGCATCTTCTTCTGGATTGATTGGGGAGGGGGTGGTCTTATGTGTTTTTTTGCATTGGGGCGGTCTTTGTGTAGTGTTGATTGTTGCATATGGGGGATCCTTGTACGGTCCGTAGTTTGTTGATAAGTATTCGATTGTTTGAGTCTAAACTGGGGCTGACAGTTGGGCAGCGCTTATGCTGCTCTCGCTTTCTGAACAGATGCCTCTACAGGGTTGGAGCTTCATACTTCTTTTGTTCAGCTTACGGAGCGAGGTCTGGGGCCCCGAGCGCATCATAGATTAATGTAGCGTAGCATGACAGAGGAACTGTGAAAAGTACTAAGGTGGTTGGGCCAAGCTATCATGGACTGGGTCGTACTGCCTCGTGCTATCGTGCACTTGTAGTCAGTGTCTATGCCGCGAGATGAGTTTGCCGAAAGTCCTCGCTGACGGAGGCGACAGCGCTGTCGATTCAGCCGTGACGGACTCCGGCAAAAAGCCGGCGGAGAAACTGGCAGAGCCCAGTACTCAGAGGGTTCTGGGTCTTAAAGGAGCATTTTGGGACACACGTCCAATTGGCTTGGGAATTTGAGGTCCAGAGACTCTAGTGCTGACAGGTGCTTAGAGCGTTTTACAGTTCGGGTTTATCTGCGGATGAAAGCTGCTTGTCCCTCTACTAAGATGCCTTTGTTGTTATGTAAATGTAAACGTCTCAAGTGCTGAGGGGGGCGATGACATGAGTTCGAAACGAAATCCTATGGGTTCAGACTCGCTTTGATTGGGAACTTTACTGTCATTATACGCATGTGTAGCAGCAAATACGCACCTAAACAACCCTAAAATCCTACCCTAAACCCTAAACCCTAAACCCTAAACCCTAAACCCCTAAACCCCTAAACCCTAAACCCTAAACCCTAAAATCCTACAAACAGTGGAGCCATGTAACGTGCAATTCTGAGGCCCTCCTCGGAGCAGTCCGAGGATGAGAGCAGTCCCTTGGACTATCTCCCGGTGACGACTTCCGAGGAGGCGCTCCCCAGGGCTTCCCTTTTAGGGGTTTTAGGGGTTTTAGGGGTTTTAGGGGTTTTAGGGGTTTTAGGGGTTTTAGGGGTTTAGGGGTTTAGGTGGTTTTAGGGCTTTAGGGTTTAGGGTTTAGGGTTCAATATCCTGTACCATTTCCGGTGGGTGCCTTATTAGAAGTAGAGTAGAATGTACACCACACCCCTATTCCAATTATTAAGGCTTCTACATTGCGGGTTTAGGGTTTTAGGGCTTTAGGTTTCAGTGTCGGACTCAGGGTTTCGTGTTTTAGGCTTTCAGGGTAGCATTTCTTCCTGGGATCTCGACCTGCCGCAGCGGAGGATAGCCCGCAGGGTTTACGAAGCAGAAGTGTATGCACTTCAGGGTCGCATTCTCGCTTCTTCTTTTGTTTCCTTTCGCTTGGAAGCCGGAGCCCGTGTGGACCTAGAGCCTAAACCCTAAACCCTAAACCCTCTAGCGTGTCCTCGCGCCAGGAAGAGGAACCTGAGCGGCCAGCCGCCAAGGTTTGCCGAGTGCTCTGATGCCAAAGTAACTGTAAAGACTGACATGCCATAAAAAGATCACGGTAGCAATAGTTACAAGCATGAGCTTCAAGGCAAGATGGAAATGTTAGTTTTCTTGATCTGGAATATGATGTATATAAGACTTCAGCGCAAGAGGCTGCAGATTTTCGTCGGCAGCGCCTGGACATGAAAGCTGTTGGTGCCACACTTTCTTGGTTTTGTTCTTGGTGTCTGACACGTTCGCATCCATCCGATCCATGGGTTCCTTTCATGCTTCCGTGACTCTTTAGGACGCATGCTTGCTTTCTGGGCTACGGATGTCTTCCTTGGAATTCATGCAATACGGAGGTCCCAAGGCCCGGGCTTCCACCCGCAGAAGCGTCGCCGGCACGTCGCCGGCGCCGCTGCGTAGTGTCCGAACCCAACCCAGTCTGCAGGGCCGGGTTCGGACTCCGTTTTCCCGCCGTCCTCTTCTTCACCATCAGGCTCAGAAGGTGAATGGTTCTCACCGTGATAACAGCGACGAGAAGCAAGAGAGTTAGGCACGAAGACAACAGGGGTTGTTGTACTGCACTAGCCACAAGACTTGTATCAAGGTTCTTGTGATGCCTAGTGATCTTTCACGGTGATTGAGAGTGCTGCTGAGGGCACTGGTTCTGTCTCCGATGGTGCGTCTGTGTACATAGACTGGTTCATCCGCGCACCGTGGGACAAAATCGAAGTGCCTACATGCCGCCCACTGCTGCTTGTAAATGTTTCTCTGCATGGCTCGTACCGATCGGCAAACTTACCTGGTGGTATTGGTGTGATGTATATTACTTGACACGGCTTTGCATTGACTTTCACGGAATTGTGCAGTCTGTCTCAAGGGACTGCCCTTCGCCCGGCATCCGCAGTCCTCGTCGCGCAAGAATGCATGGCCACATCCGATCGATGCTGGCAAGAAGCTTGCTGCAGCACGCGGAAAGCCGTGCAAGTTTGGCAAAGTGGAAGGCAAGCCCGTGGCGCGGTATTTCCGGTGATCTTGTCCCCGGCATTGATCACCGAGCGTATATGACGGCATCTATGACGCGACTCAGTCACTCCAGGCCCCATCAAGTCCCACCTGCACAGCGTGAGCGGGCCATGCTGCGGCCTGCTGAGTCTTACACCTCGGCCACGGGTCGGAGCAGGAGCAGCACAAAGAAGAAGCTGTACTTTACGGCTACACCGACAGATCCCAGGCGAGACAAGTCTCCTCAAAGAGGCCCGATGCTTTCTCATCGGCGAGCTGAGATGAAGAACTGCACAACACCAGAAGCTTTGCTAAGACGTTTATCGGATGCAATTGATAAGAAGGAAGCAGATGGTAGTGTGATCGGTGCCGCCATGCAGACTTGTGGCCACAGGTGCTGGTGGGGAACACTCATGCAGGTACATGCGAAGGCAGTTGAGCATGATGTTGAGTTCGATGCGATTCAGCGGACAATCTTCATCAATGCTTTGGCCGCTTGCTTGAAGCACTCTGAGTGCAGCGAGTCGGAGCTCTCTGCACGCAAGGATCGAGCATTGATCTTGAGCAAGACTGCTTGGCACCAGATGCCTGTGCCATCCTCCGAGCTGGACTTCAACAATTCGGTGAGTGTTGTTTGGAGAGTCTGTGCAGAGATCGGTGAAGGGGCATTGCCCTGGGCAGATGAGGTTCTCAAATGGTGTAAGACCCAGAAGTATGCTATTAACCTCTTGGCATATGGACCTTTGCTGGCACTGTTGGAGAAGTGCAAGCGTCGTGGTCGAGTGGACCAGATCATTAACGACATTTGCAAGAAGCAGCGGCTGTCCTTGAACGAAGTCAGCCTGGGAATTCTCGTGGATGCTGCTAGCAGTGACTGGAAACGAGTTGACAGGCTGTGGGACCGGCTGGTCAATGAGCTGCAGGTAACGCCGAATTTGCTTTGCTACCGAGCTCGGAGCAAAGCACATTACCAAGCTGGTAGACCAGCTGCAGCTGCAAAGATCATAGAAGATGCTGGGGTGGCTGGTTTCCCAATCAGAGCCGCGCGCACCGTGGTGATGCTCCTGCAAGCATGCATAATTCTGTGCCATTCTCATCCTACCCAGCAAAGCACAAGGCGACTGAAATCATCCTTGAAAATCGCAGAGGCTGTTGATACACGCGAAGATGAGCCCAAACTCGCATCCAAGCTGACCCGTCTGATCCGGTTGTCGAAACAGCTACTCTCAAATCCCTCATCCTTGCGCTTCCACGACCTGCTGGTCTTGCAGTACAGAGGACGGTGTGTAATGGATGATTGGCCAAGGCATCGAGCTGGCTCCAAGTATTTACACGCAGAGTAGCTGAGTAGAGCTGACCCGTTCGAGCTTGCGATGTCCGATCCGTCATGGTTTGGATGTTTGGATCTTGAGTCTTCCGGATGTCCAGGATGAGCTTTGCTGAAACTTCATGCACGTTTGTTTGCGCTGCCTTGGGCCCAGCAGATGGGGCTTCGGAGTTATAAGGTTCCACAGCCGTGATGCTCTAGCGAACCACCGGCTGCGAAGAACCATCTTCCAATGCGGAGCGCGGACTCGGTTCCCGTAAGGCCGCCGCAGACTCGGTTGCTTCGGGCCATACAGTGCTTTTCGAGCCCAGGAATGGGCTTTCTTTCGTGAGCTTTCTATTCTATAGTATTTCTGGAAATGTGCTGTTCTCGGCAGAGGCGGCTTCGGAGTGATAAGGTTGCCACCCTGAACTTGAAGTGCGCGTCACTAAGGCAACATGACAGTACTGGTTGTCATGGTACCAACCTTATCGCAGCCCGGGTGAAGCCAGCTGCCCTGTTGAAACCGCAAGGCGCTCCAGAGTGCTATTTAATGGTTTAGGGTTTGGGGTTTAGGGTTTAGGGTTTAGGGTTTCGGCAGCAAGCGCGGAATGGGCCTGCATTCACGACTGTAGAGCGTCGTTCAATCAAGTCAGCCAGGAAAAGTGTCTGGAATTTTTAGCCAGCCTGCACATTGCCTGTTCAATTGGTGTTTCACAGCTCCATAGGCATGAACTCAAACCGAAAGGCAACAAACATTCTGACCTGTAGCAGCTCAGCCCAAACCTTAAGTACACCCCAAGCCTTGAAGCCGTAAGCCTTACCAGGACCTAAAACCAAAAAACCCAAGCACTCCGAAACTGCAGATGCCTGTTTTCCCAGTCGCCCCGCAATGGCGGATGGCAGCGACCTTCGCATCGTCATCCAGAAGATCAGCGGAGAGACGCTGGAGACCACGGCTCGCTCCGAGGAGTTCGACTTCGGGGTTCGGTGGGTTTCGTGTTTGGGGGCTTGAGTGCAGGGTTTGGGTTTCAGGCGCGTGGGAACAACTACGTGACAAGCGTTTCGGGTATACAGTCCAAGTCCTGAGAGTGACTGAGAATGATGCCAGAAACTTTGAACACTATTGCAAGTCCCCTTCATGGTCGTAGTGGTAGGTTCAGTTTAGCACTACGGGGGACTATCCCAATCGATCGGGAATTCAGACGGCGTTCGTCGAGTCTTCAGTGGGATTTATCTACCGATGCGTTTGCTGACATTGATTCCTCACGCAGGCCCTGTCAGTATACATAGTCCGAGCACAGGAACTTTCAGGGCTTTCTCCGGCTGCACCCCTGCAACTTCTCACGAAGCTTAGTGGCTTAGTATACCTTAGATTACCTTAATATAGCATCAAGCGCGTGAGATAACCTGGGTTTCCTGTCGGCCTTGGTTTTAGCGCGACCTGTCCGATTTTTCAATTTCTTGGGTCGCTTCCCGTCCTTGCATTCTCTTCTGACCTTGTCTTCATCGTGTAAGCCTTGCTTGACTGCCACAGGACACGGTGGGTGACCTCAAGAGTCGAATTGCGCAAGAGGTCAATGTCCCATCACTTTGTCAGAGGCTCCGCGGCCTAGATTTGGCATGGATTCGAAATTAGTCAGGCAGAGCGACCATATATCTTTTGTAATGGGCCTGAGAAGACCCCTTTTTACTGCATGGTGCTCCCCGTCGCATCCCAGCCCTCCCCCTGAAAGTTGTTCAGTTTCTTCGTGCGTTTGGTTTTGTCAACCTGCACATGCCCTTTCTTTGTTGCTGAGCCCTCACTGAAGCAAGATCTTTATGAGTAGACCTCTATCAAGCAACCCAAATGTTGAGGGAGGAATCACAACATTCAGCAAAGCAGCACAGGGCGACAAGCTCGAGCCTACACGATCATTGCGGCTTCGGTGATCGCTGCGGACTTTGTTTTCGTGTATTTTTTTGAGCATGCTTACCGCTCACTGGTGCTGGAGCCCGATCGCCGCTGCTGCTGCCTCCGTTGCTTTTCCCAGGGTTGTAGACCCTTCTTCAGCCATGCTATCCCTAGGCTGGTCCTACACAGCGTCCCGCAGAAGCTGATCTTCCAGCGCAGCTTGCCCCACTTCTCCAAAGAGCTCGAGAAGGTTCTGGGGGAGCTGGAGCCAAGGATGTATGCGGAGGCCCCGAAGTTTGAGGGTTTGGTAGCTTTGGGCTTCGTCGTCTGGGCTTCGGCGGTACGGCTGCAGGCTTCGCAAGGACTTGGGGTTTGGGAGCTTGAGGTCTCCACTTCAGGGCGTTTTGGTTGACGAGAGGTCTTGCCTTCTCACGTGAAGTCTGTCAGGTGAGAGCTCTGCAACGACCTCCTCCTTCCTGCTTGACTTGCATCGTGATGGTTCTGCAGCTGATGGCGGTCCTCGGCCCTTCCGCCTTCGAGAACTTGGCCCGCTTGGGGAGGGAGCCCTGGAATGATGACGACTGGCGAAGCCAGGTGGCACTTTCGCTAAGGCTCCATGTGCCTATATAGCACACACACACACACCTATATATATATATATATATGGCCTTAAAGTACCGATATAGGGACTACTTTACGGTCAGGATCTACTATATGAGTGCATTGAGTCTTAGGGTTTGGGGTTTGTGGGATTTGACAAGGGTTTGACTTGCAAGATGTATTTCTTACCCTTAGGTGGTTGGGATTTCTTCTTCAGCAACACGTGAGCGGGCGCCCTGCACCCAGGAAGTTGCACCTGGAAAGATTGCAACCCGGCTGATTTGATACCTAAGCGGCCAAGAGTAGGATTGTGCACCTACAAAAAGCTAAACCCTAAACCCTAAACATTTAA